TTCATTTTTCCACGAACAACTTGCCCTCTTTGAAATATTTCCGAGATTATGTTCTGAAGCTTCTCGATTATACGCGAGTCTATAGATAAGAAAGGCGTTTAATGTTCTATTGGTGTTTCCGAGACCTTTTTTTAAATGCGTTTTAACTATTTCATTAGTGGTTATTGAGGGGGGAAACGAGGGTCTATAACCTGATTGAGAATTGTGGTTTTCTGACATAATAAAGTCTTATGTTTCTTTTTATTTAAAAATTTACAAAGCGAAATATTCGCAAGTTCAATGGCAGATAACCCGATCTCTTATATAGTCTCAAATATTAAATAATTATAACGATTTCCAACTTTAATCGTAGGGAACGATTAATCCAACGATTAATTTTAAATAGATATGGATTAATCTTTAATCGAATACAACCTAAAAAGGTAATCATTGATAATCACCGTAAATAATGTGTAGGGACACAACAAATATTGGCAAAAACAATCTGCTTGTAAATGAGAAGTGACCAACCGGATTTGTTATTCAGACATAGTGAACAGCCCAATATGTTTAATTATCACTCATGGGATGTTATCTGTGTACATTTGTGCATTCACAGAAATCGATATTTATCTTTCCTATTTTACTTATTTATTATTGTCCGGAGCATAACGTAAGAATATACAGTCTTCCCAATAACTGAAATAGTTGTCATATATTAAACTTTTATTTTATTAATAAAACCGATTTTTATGTTTCTGAATGAAAAATTTTTACTTTTTTTTTGTTAAAAATTTTGACATTTACTTAATTTTATAACTATTATTTTAACAAGTAATTTACTAATAATAAATTTTGTTCAGCATATATTAAAGTATTTAAATATTAAGTTTCATAAATTTTTACTTGGTATTTAAATTTTTATTTGATAAAATGTACAGTCTTTTAAATATAACAAATATTTATATTTAATCAAAAATAGGTATTGTATATAAAATCTTTTATTTTATCAATGGTATCAGTTTTTACATATTAATAAAACTTGTTTCTTATAATAAATTCTACTAATAATAAAATTTTTAATATTATATTTATACTTTTTTATAAATAAAAATTTTAATAATGTAATAATTATTTATCAGTTTATATTTATATAAATATTTGCTTATATGTTTATTTTTTTATAACTTTATTGTTATTATTATTAAAATAATTAATTAAAAAAAAAAACTTAATATTTTTTAATATAAAGAAAATTATTGAAACTTGAAAATATAAAATAAG